TCCGGCGTGTGTGAGCTATGGAAAGGATGGTTTTGTTAGGGATCCCATCCCCTCGCCTCATGTGCAAATGTTTTGATTGTGATATTGGGCACACAAAGTATGGAATCATTTGGCTACTGAACCAGCTGCACTTCAGCACATTTTTATTTTCTGACTTTGAGGCTTTGCGATTCCCTAGCCCAGGTTACCCTCAATCGGTGGCTGGGAATGTGATTTAGGCATTTTAACCCCTATTTCTTGTAGAGGGTGGGTGGGAAGCCACCCCTCAAGACCAAACCACCAATCCAAACCACCATTCGAAGGAAGCTGATTCTAGCGCGGCCGCCGCCACAAGATCACATCTTCAAATGCCCAAGTGGTTCTGCGTGAAGCCTTGGTTGCAAGCCCCCCTCTAAAAGACTGGGACTCAGCAGCCAAGGCCGAGGGTACCATGACCTTCCATGCGATGCCAACTTAACAGGTGTCTTCCCTTTGCACTCATTCTTCAGCCCATAGTTTATCATGCCAGAGACCTTCAAAGAGTTTGTTTCTTGTTTTTGAGGTCACAAACATCCTAAACCCTGTGTTAAGCTTTCCGCTCAGTCACTGTATCCCAAAAGCAGTGTGCAGAATGGGCACAGGCGTTCCGGCTTGCGGGGGCACGGGCTTGTGGGTGGCGAAGGAATTTCAGCGGCCACCTTGTTTCTTGCCGACGAAAACTTGCTTGGCACTTCGCCCGGCTGCGGAGACCGCTTTTGGCACGAGGCCTACATTTGAATCTTAAGTTTTGAAGCATGGCATTCGCGCCACCGGCTCGAAGCACGGAGACTTGCCTGCAGTCGTGCGGGGTTTGGCACGCTGAGAGAAGATGTTGCAAGTCACAGAGATGCCGCCCGAAGAGCGCAATCCAGATGCTGAGGTGCTTGAGTTCTACCTCAATGGCGAAAAGGTTAAGGTGGCCGACCCCGACCCTCGCCAGATGCTGATTGAGTATTTGCGAGACGCGAAGGGGCTCAGCGGCACAAAGAGGCGCGGCACAGACCGGAAATCCGCCGGGGGCTGCTCAGCAAACCGTGTCTCTAGGAGCTGCCTGCAGGGCGGCTGCGGCGCCTGTGTAGCCGGAGCCTGAAGAGCTGAAGGGTTCCAAACAGCGCAGCCAGACTACCAAAAAGGTCTCGCAGCTCCTACCGAAGCCGGGCTTGTTGGTCAATTTGTGCGATCAACGTGCTCAAAGGAGCCAATTTGTTTGATTGAGTTAACCTTCTGCTTAGTGGTTGAAAGCTAACTGTGGACAATCACAAAACCAGTGACGAGAGCTTGCGGCGCAAGCTGCATTTCAGGTGGCTGTTCAGGAGTATGACGTTGCCACGTCTCGCTGGTTGTACCGCTCGGTCAATAGTTGCGTGGAGCTCAGTCCACGTGCTGATGTTTGCTTGCTCGCCACAGTGTTTTTCTTTGCAGTGGCTAGACTCCAGGTTCAGTTCACATGCTGGGGAGGTTCAAGGCATTTGGCCTGATTTTACTCAAGCATTCCCCTGCATGTGGGAACTGTTGATCGTCCTTCTTGCTTTCCATTTAACAAACGAAGCGGGAGCGGATGTGTGTGTGTGTGTGTGTCCGTGTGCCAAATGCTTCAACTGGGGTTAAGTTAGTTAAGTTCTCATGAACAACTAGAGAAAAGAAAGGCAAAGCTCGGTCGCTTACTCCGAGGCTTGAAGCCGTTGGTGAGCTGCCACGGGCTCTCGGTGACCACCGTGGAGGGGGTGGGCTCGGAGCGGAAGTGTCTGCACCAGGTGCAGAAGCGCATCGCCCCTGGGGCTCGTGATTCCAGTTTTTTCTGTTTTGCTGAAGGCCCCCTAAGGTGATGTGGCTGTGGGTCAAAACCACTGGTACCATTTTGGGTAGGTGCACCGCCCATTTTAGTCTATGTTAGTGGAGATTGGGATGTTCACTGGGGATACGGGATTTTGATTCATGGCCATATCGTTCTGGGAAACAACTGGCATCCTCAAACAAGAGCCGCTTACCTTGCCAGCCCGAAGCTGGAAGGTTTTGGGAGCACTTTACAGATTTGTTGACGCATCCAAGGCCGAGAACCATGGCATGCAGTGCGGTTTTTGCACTCCCGGCATGGCGGGGAGCTTAGCAATGCTTAGGCGTTTGCACCTTACTGCAAGCAGACCGCATACACCAAAGGAACAAACTGGGCACAATGCAATGAAAGGAAAAAGGAAGGACACGAACGTCACTATTTGTCCAGGAAAGACGGTGGGTACCGAAAGACGGCAAGGCAAACGTTCTATTTGATGCAGGCAACAAGCAGAATGCGCATCCGCGGCATTTACACGCTGGGGCTTTGATCCCTGGCTTGCGAGCTGGCAGGTCATGAACACCTATGCCCTGCTCCGCAGTGGTGGGAAGCCGACCGCGGAGGAGTCCATGAAGAATTACGATGGCAACATCTGCCGCTGCACGGGCTACCGAAACCTGGTCCAGGCAAGTCCCAGACAGTTAAGTCCAGTTGGCTTGAAGCCAGAGGTTGCACCTTGTTTGGTGGTCCTTTCATTTGGAAGTGTGAATATGTATATATATATATATACGTAACATGTGCATAAGTGGAGCAGAGTCCAAGTGCGCAGTAGCTGCAATACCCTTGCAGAAGTGCGAGAGGTGGGGATGTTACAGGATCCCCGCGAAGAAAGCGCAAGGGAACTGGCCAATCATGCTGATGCGAAGCCGGTATCGGCTTGCTTGCGAGAAAGCAGCTAGTTTCAAGCAGCCAAACGCAATTCATTCACTTGCTGATCCTCAGGGAATGAGAAATGGAATGACCCCTATACACCATCCAACTGCTGGTTTCCTGGGGAATCCCCAAAACCGGTTCATTCAACCACATTCCGTTATTTTTCTTCAAAAACATACAAATTTGTGGTTTCCTTAAATGGGGGAATCCCCTAAACCGGTTCATTCCCACATTCTCAAAAAATAATTCAGTAATCCAACTGGTGGTTTCTTTTTTTCAGGAAACCCCCAAACCGTTTTATTATTATTATTTTTTTAAATTTGTGTATTTTTCAACACCCGGATCGGGTCATTCCCTCCCTATCGCCCCCATCCGCCCGCCTCCCCCGCAGGCCTCGGAGAGCTTCTGTAAGGACGCCTCGCCAGAGGCGCTGGCGCTGGCCGAGCGGTGCGGCCAGCACGACGCGGACGTGTGCGACAAGATCAGCAGCGCCTCGGTGCAAAAGGCACAAGGCAAATCCGACACAGGCGCGCAACGCCTTGGGATTTGCGCAGGTGTGTGTCTTTTTTCCCTTTTTGATAGGGGGTTCACTGTAAATGGGTGGTTGTCAGTTTTGCTTTTTGTTGGTCTTCTTGTTTTGATAGGCACAGAAAGGGGACTCTCAAAGATGCAGCGCCAATGTGCTGCTTCTTTTGCTTCATTTTCGAAACGGGGGGTCAGTGAGTCGGACTCCAAAAGACGTTGGCCAAGGATTGTGTTTGGTGTTGGTACACCCCCTTTTGGGGTGGTTTTAAAGGGAAAGGAAAGCCGTTGCCAGTTTTGGGGGCCCCCCATTTTAAAATATTCATGGCTTTGATCGGCAGCGCGTTCCAAACAAAAGAACAGAGGAGTGAGCATCGTGCGACCAATGTTGGTTCAATGTTTTTTTCAAGCGCAGGAGATCCATTAAAATGCACAGAGAAGAAGGCACGGTGTTTGCTGCCGCGGCCGCCACCATTTCTGACAGCTACTCATGCAACGCTGGGTGTTATCCGTCTACGAGTGGTCTTTGTTCTTGCTCCTGCTACCGCTGTATCTCTGCCGCTACTACCACCACCCGCACTGCCGCTGCCTCCACCGTTTCCTAGCACCACTGTGGCTACCATCGCTGCAGTTGCAATTGCTACTGCAGCAACTAGGATGCCAACACATTGCCACCTGTTTTTGTACTTAACCACCATTGTATTTTTTTTTTGCACCAACCGCTACAACCACAATTAGAACTACTCTGCAACTTCTACTTCATTTAATGTGTACCACTACCGCCACGACGGCCATGGGAGGTGCAACAGGACCCATTTGATGTGCACTTCTGAGGCCGGGAACACCATTCCATGGAGAAAATGTCCGAGTCTGTCAGCTGCCAAGATCGAAGCATTCACAGAGATACCCAGTTGATTCACTTGGATGGCGACTCAGCCCATCACCAGGTCACCTTCGCAAAGGATGGATTCACCTGGTATGCGCCGCTCTCACTTGGCGAGCCTCGAAGCAACTAGGATCGACCGGTGGACCCGAGTCGGATTCATGTTCCCTTTCTCTTGGTTTCAATTTGTTTTTGATTGAGAGGAATGATGCGTCCTGTGGAGACGCAAGAAAGCAACTCCATACATCAAAGCTGATGATTCCCTCACGGCCTCCTCCAACATCCAAACCATATTTGACACATACTGGTGACATCATCAAGTTTTGACCAGGTCCCTCACAGTCTGGCACTGAAAAAGCAGATGCCACTTCCTTTTCAGTTGTGATAGTCGGATGCTACATTGTTTTGTTTGTGCATCGTACTTCCTTCCGTCGGCGTGTGGTCAGGGCAGAGATGGAGAGAGAGAGAGAGAGAGAGAGAGAGAGACAGGGAGAGAAGCTTAGTGTGCTGAGGAAGTCTTGGAGTTCAAGAAGGCCAACCCCAGGGCTATGTACGTCCTGGGAGACACCGCAAAGGGCATCCGACAGGCGGCCTATGAGGCGCCCGGTGTGGCACTGAGTTGCTGTGCTCTGTGCCAGTGTACAGTGTACGCTGCGCAGGTCATGAACGGCCGTGCGTCTCACGTGATCTCCTTGAGACATGTGCCTGGGCAGAAGCAACATCCAGCAATACAGGGGAAGGGAATTCACGCCATCGTTTTGTGGCTTGCCTTTGTGGGTCTACATGGCAAGACAAGAGAGAGTGTTTGTTGCTACAGCATGACATGTCATGCCATTGCTTCTTGAGCAGGACAAGGCTGGACCGCTGTCATGC